GCTCCTGAAGCCTGAGTCTGAGATCATTTAATCCAAGTCAAGTCCTTGAGTCCGGGATCACGTCGCATTTGTGATCAGTCAATGGCTGCCACCCCTTGGAGTGTATTTGGACATTCTGTTTTCCAGACTGAAGGACTGAAGTGCATCCCAAAAGTCATCCCTTCCCCACCTTTCCCTGAGGCCAAGTCCGAGGATCGCACACCACCCTCGCCAGCCAAGAGGGACATCGCAGCTCCCAAAGCGAGCGATCGGAAGGACGGCATGGATGGGGTGGCTGGGACAGGGTAGGAAACGAAGAGAGCCTGGTGGGCATGAACTTCAATGGGCAGATTTTGTTGCAGGCGCAGTGGTTTGGTGTATTATGTGCTCGTGTGTGTGTGTGTGTGTGCGCGCTCATGTGTGCGCTAGTATCAGCAGTAGAGTAGTAGTCGTCGTCGTCGTCGTCGGAGTAGGAGTAGGAGTAGGAGTAGGAGCAGTAGAAGCAGCAGAAGTAGTGTAGCAGTAACTGGCAGTAGTATGAGTATAAGTATGAGCGCGAGTACGAGTACGAGTAGTAGTAGTAGTCGTCGTCGTCGTCGTCGTCGTAGTCGCAGGTGGTCGTAGTAGTAGTCGTAGTAGTAGTCGTAGTAGTAGTAGTGGTTGTAGTAGTAGTAGTAGTAGTTGTTGTTGTTGTTGTTGTTGTGGCGGGCTTGGTCTGGATATAATGCCGGAAATAATGCCGGATTGCAGTCCATCGGCAACAGATGGCGCATGACGGTTCAGAACCAGCAAACTTGGAACACGGGCGGCCTTCTTTGCACTGTTTTGGGGCCGGTCCTTGGCGAACATCAATGACGACAGTGCCCTTTTGTGGACACCCGATGGTATGAGATCTCAATGACAAGTCTGGGATTCATGACTTGCTACAACTTGCTGTGTCTTGAAATGAGAAGGAAGGACAATGAAGGACTGTTTTGCCAAGTCTTGGACTCCTTTCCCATGGGATGAAACTGTCGACTCACGTGGGGCACGGGTTGGGTTTAGATGTGTTGCCTTCATGTCAAGTCATCCCCTTCCGATTTCAGAAAGCACCTGGTGACCTGGAATTCAATTCATCGGCACGAGCGGGCCCGTTTGTGCTCTTTGGTGTTCTTCTTTCTGATCGCCTTGTGCGGCCACAGGAGTCGGCCTTTGACTTCAAACGTCGGGATGACCCCGAGAAGAAGCGCCAGGAAGAAGAAACCACGGTCTTTGGGGGGGCCGGGTCGGGCGCCGTCGGGTGAAGAGGAAAGGAACAGGAACAAAAACAGGTTTATGAGGTTCTTGACAGCAACCAGTCGAAAAAGATTGGGATCGCTTGTTTCGATACATAGTTGTTACAGGCAGTTATGTAGATGGTTGATGATGGTTGTTGTGATAGAAATGCTACGGGATGTCACAGCGGTCACTTTGAAGAACCTGGTATGCACTTTGAACCTGCAACTTTCTGCGTACCCTGGTCTCTGATCTCTTGGGCGATTCTCATAGCACGTTCCCAAGTGGGTGCGCATTGTCTTCCACAAATGTGGTGAAGATTGTTGAACACTTGATCACAACACAGTCTGGATGTGGTGGTTTCAAGAAACATATTATATATACAGTTACGGTTATAATATATATATATATGTATGTATAATATATGATAATATATATATATATGTGTGTGTATGGTTAGATGATGTTTACTTGTTTCAACAACGATGATTGAACTCACTGACTGACATGAACTGACTCATCATTGTTCTTTCGCGAGTTAAACACCCACCTGCCAGGAGCAGGAGAGCTCCCTTGCCGACATCCGCGCGTTGCAGAAGCAGAAATTCAAAGAGTTCCAGGTGCCGCACCGCGCGGGCGGCGCGCGGCGGCTGACGAGACGCACGGTACCGACAGTGGCGCGCAGCGTTCGGTGGGTCCAACCGTGGCGCGTCGTTCGGTGTGACAGACCGACAGTACCAACAGCACATCTTGCCAGCACCTCTAAGCACCACGTGAAGATACGACCTTCGAACTACAAAAGCTGGTATAAGAAAAGGATGAAAAAGGGTTCCAAATGTTCAGCGGCTTCTCTTTGCTGTGAAAAGCGGGTTCTTGGACCAATCTCCATCTAAGTTGACCACCTGGAGAAGAAACCAAAAAGACACAAAAACATTCATCCGCCTCAGTCGCCTCAGTCGCGATGTGAAACGGCCCATCCCAAACAGATCGGCCGTTTCAGGCGGATCCCACCGCCCGGCAATCCGAAGCCTACCAGCGGCCCCCGAGCGCGCCGGGCGCCTCGGAACCGGGCTGGTTCGATTGGATGTGGGGCGGTGGCTCCTCCTCCAGCGGCGGCGGCGGTGGCGGCTATGGCGGTGGAGACGACCGGAAGCCCAAGATGAAGACGATTCGGGACCTTCCGAAGCCCGTGAAGCGGGGCGGCTGAGGCTAATGAAGGGCTCCTTGGAGTTGGGAAAATCGCTGAGTCGCTGACCTTGTCTTTCTTGCCCTCTTTGCAGTTGCTTCATGAATCTTCATGAGTTGAGAGCGCTTCTGGCCAACCATGAGCCATCCGAAATTCCGCTGCGTTGCCATTCGAGCGCCCTCAGGCTCTGCTGCGGCTGCACCATCACCACCTTCACCAGCGATGTGACCAGTGATGAGCACAGCGACCGTGACCGAGCGCAACCGCGCCACGCGAGTGCTGAGCTTTGAGAGTCTTGCATCGTGAAGGGCTCCAGATGGGCAAAGCCGCGGTACAGGGCCATGCTGTACAGGCGCACTCCTGCAGGGTCGATGTTTTTTTTTCCGTATTGATCTTCATGTCGGACACTGACCTCAGTGCTTCAGAAACAGGACATGACTGGACCTCCTAAAGAAAGGTAATGTGTCTACACCATTTGAATCGACCCACCTTTGCGCGCGTCAGAAGACGGAGGCAAGAACTTCGACCCATGAGCAGAGACAAATCTGTGCCGCTTAGTTCATGAGCTGATGTAGGGCAATGTAGGGTGTGTACCATTACCAGCCACAGTTGGTAAATGTCGGTAATAAATGATCAGCATTTTTGGGGGGAAAGGCCGGGAAAGGCATGTTCCATGCCTTTAGTAACCAAAATCATCCATTGGGCCCTGGGAGATACTACATGCCGTAGATACCCCAAGTTGATGTCTCAAGTCCGTGGTCCCAGCAAGTTTATTTGCAACATCCACTGAGATGTTATTTATATATCTCACCATATCTCATCTTTGAGTCCACTGATTTTTGTCCGTCGCTTGATGTCGCGAGGCAAGGCTGCGGGTCGCATGTCCCAGCTGTTTTTCAGGAAACCACTTCGATAGAAATCACTTCAAGCATCTTCAAACTAGATTTTCACTACCACCTGTCCAATCTTTGATGGACATCACTTCAAGCTAGATCCACTGACTTGGATATACTTGGATAGCGAGTGCTTTTCACCACCTGTCCAATTTTTTCCATGTTATTTTTCAGGAAGTGATGTAGTGAATGTCAGTTCCTTGACTTGACCAAGTTTGCCAGCGGCAAAACACTTTTGTGTAACTCTCTCCTTACATGTTATTGTATATGTGTATAAATATTAATAGTTTATTCCATATTATTGCTATATCTCCTTTACGAATTGCGGCCAAACAGAGCTTGTTGCTCTTTACCTCATGTGACGGGTTATTGTGCGTGTGTTGTTTCCCGTTGGTTCCGATATATGCCTATGCCAGTTCGCGTTGAAAGGCGCGCCACGGGTTGTCCTCGAGCTGAGTCCTAGTGGTCACCATGGTAGTCCACCCAGACTTGATAGAGCATCTCCAGACCCCGTGCTTGTCCTCTACAACCCCAGGGTCTTCCGTACGGTCCATGTGCATCATGTGGTCCAGGGGGATTTTTGACCTGTTTGAGAAAGGCTGAGAAGTCGGGGCCTTTGAGGTTTGGCACTTCTTGGGGCCGACATCCGTTTTTCAGTGCTAGGGACCCTCCCCCCCAAAACAACGGACTGAATTTTGATGAATTTTGCCAGTCACTCAAGTAATTGGAACAAACCGGTCAATAATAGGTTTGGGGAAACTCGAGTATAGGAAAGACATAGAATCCACGTATGTGTGCAGGTGGTAAGTGATAATCCCAGAGATTCACGACGGTGCTCAGTTTGCCGATCAATGAAAATAGTTGCTTGCCTCCACTTGGCTGCCTTGAAGATCAGCCTCGCCCGTTGCGGGCTGAATCTGATTTTCTTTGGCAAGGCTTCAGCGTTCCATTGGTTCTGGCACACGGACACTATGGAGAGGATACGAGGATTGCTTTCATGAGTGGTGGCGATTTCTCCAGCTGTCCAAGCTCATTCAGCCAAGTACATATGTCCATTGCATATCGACTGAAAGGGACACCTTCAGAAAGCTCAACTGCACACGGACACCTCTAAAAAAGTGAAATCAGTGGTAGAGTGAACACGAGTGGATGCTCTGGTGGAGGGTGTCGCGTGTTCAACACCTGGGATGTGGATCCATGTCACTGAAGCCCAGTAGAAAGCGTTTCGATGCTACAAGCCGTGCCTGGGGGTGTCAAGTCATCCACTCAGTGAGTAGCCCTTGCTTAGAGACGGTCAGCTGCTCCATCTCGGTGGACTTGTAGTTTTTGTGCGAGAGACCTTTGAATCGGATGGATTCCCGACGCATGTTTCAATTTCATGCGTGGACCGCGGGTGCGAGAACACCCTCAGGCTTGCCACCAGGTATCCTTTTTCACCACAAACTCCGATGTTTGTGACTCGTGTCCTTCACTTTCAGCGAGGGCAGGGCGGCACTTTTTCCACAGGTCAGTCCGACTCGCTCGATCACCAAAAAGCGACGAAGCGGCGTTTGAGCAGCAGCGAAACGACCATGGCAAGCAAGCGAAAAAGACAAACGCAGGTTGGCCAATGTCGGCCAAATTGCGCCGGCGAGTGTATTTGGGCTCACTTGAGTGAGTCCGTTTTTTGTTCGCCTCTTGTTTCGCAGGACATTGAAGACCTTCATTGCAGGACTGCCGGGGTGCTTTGGTCTCAACAAATCACGAAAGGTAGCTTCAGCTACCTGAGTTCATCCTCCCACAGGCCATTCTGGGAACTCTCTGCTAGGGGAACTCTCTGCTTTTCTGCTTTGGTGCTGCTGCCGCTGCTGCTGCTCTTCAAATCCCACGGATCTCTCTCTCTCTTCTCTCTCTTCTCTCACCTCTTTGAAAGTTGCACTTAGTGACCTACCTTTCGTCCACCCGCTCCCAATGATGGCTAATGGCTCATGTTTGTTATTGTGTATTTATTGTTCATCCAGCTGCGATGTTGGGATATGTTGGGATACCCTTTTGTGTGAGCCAAACCCAGCCACAGAGTTGCCGAACAATCTGCGTAACAGAGAGCAGACATTTACATAATTTACATATAATATATAAAATGATCATATGGTAAGTTGTCGTCAGATATAGTGATTGTCCATTGACTGCTGCTGCTTGCCCTTCAATGATCAGTGCATACGTTCGCTCGATCTCGCGATGTTCGCTGAAAAGCCCGTGTGTCGATGCGCAGGCTGGAGGAAAGCCAGTGTAGCTATCCCGACTCCTTTTGCACTTTGTGGTTTCTTCGCTGCGTTCAACGGGGCGAAACGACGGGTCCGCCCGTCCGGCCCCGTTCGTTCGCCGCTTTCCGGTGCCCCCGAGGCTTTGCACCCGCGACTTCGGGCGCTTTCATGAGGGTTTCCCGAAGCCCGAAGGCTTCACGGTGCTTTGACTTAGAAGGTCAACAGCTGTAAGTCAGGCGGCGATAGTTTAAAGATGGACATAGATGGACAGTGGATATGCGGATTCAACTTGAGAAGGATGTTTGAAGATCCTAGATCATCTAGCTTTCGTGTGCAACTTGTGAGTCAACTTGATCCCCAAGACCGGCTTTGATCCCCAAGGTGTCTGATGAGGACATCACCGGTGCCATGTACTCGAGGATTTTGGCAGCTCTGGAGTCCGAAAAAAGGGGCCGGCAGCTGGTTGTGGTGCGACGGGGTCAGAGTCAACATGACCACTTCGACTGATTTTGTGTAACCTTTGGCAGTTCACAAGTTCTCTTCTTGTATGTAGCGAAGCCGCAGTTCCATGAAGTATCATGAATGATTTATCGTTCAAGTTTGGGCACCAGGGATTCTAAGCTCAATCCACCAGGGAGGTCCATGTCGGGGGGGCCTAGGGCCTAGTGAGTGACTAAGCTGGGCACCCCGACATGAAAGGCAGCAGTGGTGCCAGTGATGAACCCGAGTGAACTTTGGGAGTACCAACCATTCATCCAATAGGGAGACCTTCTTCCAGGAAGTAGGAACGCCTGGGAGGTTTGCCGGTCTCCCTATCTGAATACATATTTCAGCTTGACAAGTCCTTTGAGAATGCGGCCTGAGTAAGGCCTGCCTCCGACTCCTTAGCACGACTGCGCAGTGGGCACCCTGCTGCCTCCCGCGTGGTGCATGAGATGTGCAAGGCTGACGATCCCCTGCGATCGGGAGGGGGCGGTGGACCTTGGATGCGACCTTGGCTGCCTGGCCCAAGCTCTGCCAGGCCCCAAGCCCCGATCGTGAAGCACACTGAAATCAAAAGAAGTAGAGGTCGCAAAAGCTGACAATCGCTGATGACAGCTGCCATTCAACACTTTTCAGAGGTTTGATCTGGTCGCTTCAGACAGCTGGGAATCACTTGGTGAACTCCACAGTTGCCTACAAAAACCATGATAACCAATGATAACCACGCTCTTTGAGCGACGCTCTTTGATTTCGCAGGGGAAGGCGAAGGTGTCATCAGTGGTGTCACCCTTCCGTCAGGAGTGGGACAGAGGGCAGAAGATGGTGCCTGGTGAGGCGCTTCTGCAGACGTGACGAAGCAACGCGCAGCATGTCATGCTTAACAGGTTCCAGGCCATCGCTAGTAGGTTCCAGGCCATCGCTACTATGGTGGAGGCCATCGCTACTAGTAGCAAGAAGCCTAATTAGTAGTAACAAAGGCATTAGTACTAGTATCAAGAAGCTGAAGCTGTTGACGTGACAGCTTACTACCATTGTGCCCAGGAGTCAGGATCTGACTCACTGGATCACGCGAGAACTGGCGGGATCCAATCTGCGAGCACGATAAATCTGCATCATGTGGCATCGGGTTGGCCTCATGTGGCATCCAAGGTCAACGCTTCCAGTTCCCAGGGCTCGAGTCGTACCTCCTCAGAAGGTGTTTGAACCATTTTGGACCCGTCTGGCTGGCACCTGGGCCCCCAGTCCCACCGAAACGAAACGAAGGTTCGACTGGAGCCCTAGGCAGTGTCACATGTTTTTTGTCCCCCATTGGATTCTCAGCAAAGAGGGAGCAACGTTGCCGAGGGGGGCAGTGGTTGGTCATCGCCGTCCGGAATTCTTAAGGAATCGAAATTCCACCATGACCTGTATATAATTACACTAAGTAGTGGCATTATGATATGGGTATAGACCGATCCATGACCATTTACTGTAAATCCGAAGATTGAAGAGATGGTTTTCACCCACCCACAGAACCATGGATGTTTGCACCGCAGGTCTTCGTGTTGTGTGTGGTGCGCTTCCGGTTGACCAAACAGTCGCGGCCCACAGGACTTTGTCTACTCCAAGGAGTCGGGGCGCTACTGCGCTCTCCAATCCGGTCGGGCCAACCACAAGGCGCGGCGAGGAGAGTCGTGGGCGGGCGTTTGGACGAACTCGTGGTTCACTTAGGTAGCCTGAGTAAATTGGAACTCAGGTAGCCTCAGGACTTCTTAGGCATTGGTCGGGAATCCGTGTTTGCAAGTGGGGGCACAGATTGATCCGAAGAGATTTGAAACTAGTTGTCTCAATTCATGTAGAGGTGAAACACACTGTGGGTGTTGCCTTTGCCCTGTCATAGCTCGGACTCGTGAAGCCTTATTTGTTCATGTTGGCTATAGAACTCACGCGGAGTTAAAACAAAGAACAACAGCAAAGAAGCAATCCAATACATTTAGCCCAAAACCTTTGAAGTGAGTTGATCAACCTTTTTCTGCAATCAGTTCTTTTTCAAAGACACGAGCTTATCATCCCCAAGTCAAGTCATTCCAAGTCCGCAAGCCAACCGACCGATTCGTTCCCTGCCTGGAGGCTTGGTCTTTGGCCCTGGAGTGTCGAAACTTCAAGGATTCCCTGGGCAACTTGGAATCATGTGCGCTTGCCCACTTCTTGCATGTTACTTTTATAACCTTTGCCATGTTCCCTGGGTGATTCGAGTGCGTCGCTGTTTTCGTCTTCTTCCGCACTTCTTGACAAGTCCGTATGTCACCTTACTAAACCACCTAAACCGCACGGCGACACCGGAGAAAGAAGTGAACCAGCTATATATATATACAATGCAAGCCCCACTTGATTGCTCTGCCACCACTGCCACAGCCCCTGATGGGAGCTTTTCTGCAAGAACTTGCACACCAAGAGGGAGAGGGGGAGAGAGACAGAGAGAGAGAGAGAGAGAGAGAAAAAAAACACAAAAGAACAAATAAGTAAAGATAAAGATAAAGAAAGAAAGCAGAACAGAAAGACAGACATAAAGAAGGAAAGGAGAGAAAGAGGGAGTGACCATGTCGAAACAACTTTCAGACCCAAGTCCAAATGTTTAGCTTGGTGTTGTTTGGTGTTGTTTCGTCTCTTAAGTGGGATGAGGTAACTGAACTTCGGATCAGAACTAGCCCTTCGTAATGACCCGTTGCTGTGCTTTGCCTTTGAGGGGCCCCTATTGGTGGGCAAGGCGTGAACCTCTTGGGCCAAACAAGAAACATGATTAAAATTGATTAAATATAATATCGGATATGTTTTTGTTGGCCTTCGACGCGGTCCCTCTTGCCAAGAATTTGCGCAACTGAAGGGCTGCCCAACTGACACTATGCTGCCTCTAGACGTGCAACAATCGTACAACCCTTTACTCCCAGCACGTAGCACGCAGGTCCACTTAAAGCAATTCCTCCCGAGCCACCAAACCCGAGTTTCATACGTCTTGGCGCGCAAATGACCCTTTTCATCGGTCTACCAACCGTTGGAGCAGCTCCATTTTCCCGCAAATGCTTGCATCTCCTCTCCCACCCCGACACGCAATCAATCTCCGTCTCGGCTCTCCAGAAAATAGGTCTTGTAAAGGTCTGGATGCCACAGATTGCCTTTTACATCCTTTTACTATATGTTGGTTGATCAAATTCGAGAGAATATTGTATCTCCAAGTGTCCAACCAATATTGCTTGATCTCCTGGCATCGGCTCGACCAAAGAGTCGGACACGGTGCCCCACCCGAGGCAAAGAAATCTTCTACCAGGACAGGTCACGGGCGCTGCGGACGCCGTGATGGCGCGACCCGAGACGGAGACGGTGTGAAAGCGAGCGTGAAACCGTGCGACAGAGGTCGGTGGGGGACAACGGGAGGGTCTCAGAGCAAAAGGCACCGACCGAAGACGATTTGCTGCCAAGTGGTGGCGTGTTTGTTGGAGGTCGGGTTTGAGACACTCAGACTCGAAAGCCTTTGGGTTAGGAGGCTGTGAGGCATCTTTTAGGTCGTTTCGGGGGGTGGGGTGGCCACTGGCCTTTTTTCGGCCATATTTCCAAAGAATGACAACAACTCCGATAAAGTGCGTCGCCTGTCTCCCACTAGCATTCTCTATCATATTCTAAAGTCCTTGCAAGCAGAATCTCCAATTCTTTCTCTTCAACAAAGCTGTAACCATTCTGGATTAGATAGAATCCCCAGGAATATGAACTAATTCAAAACAAAACATTAAAACAAAACATTACCACTTTCCTGTTGGTTGTAGGGTATCACCCTATTCTATCTACTCCAGGATGGCTAGATATAAAATACTGTACAATGGGTATCAAAAAAGCTTCAGCCAATGGGCATAACGGGCTTAAAAGCAAACCAGCCCGGCGGGATGTTCAACCTTCCCGGCGGCATGAAAAGCACCATCGGAGACGCTCCCACAACTGCTGATGTCGCCAGGAGCGTCTCTTCGTGATGTCGCGACCGCGGGTTTTCCGACGCTACCACCGCATCTTAGGCCGGGGGGGGAAATGGCGTGGAGGACCAGTTTCACCATGGGAAGATGGATGCAAACTGAAAAGACCATCAAGTAAACCATGTTTAAACAATATATTAGCATGAACTATTTGTTGAAATTTCTGGGGGCTGATGTGCTTGATTAATAGAGGGAAGTTTTGTGGATAGACATATGTTTAAGTGTGTTTTATTTTATGTTTAAAGGGATGTCAATGTGGACATGGTTTATTATTGGTGGCTCGAGATAGGCTATATGCTGCTAGTTATGCTGCTATATGATGTTATTTTCAAGATCGCCCCCTGGGGTGTGACCAATCAGATTTAAGGTGATTTCACCCTGATCCAATCAGGGACAGCCGGCCGATGTCATCACCTAACTCCACCTATGTGGGAGTCCCCGGCCGCTCTGTAGACGGCGCGCTTCGCGCCAGGCTTGAGTGGTTCCATTGGCAGCGATCCCGAACGGCGCTTCTTGCAAGAAACCTACCGTCAGGGACGC